GTTCACAAAGAGTTTTGCATCCTGATTCGGATCCGCCCTGAGTAGCACTTCCTGACAGATCCTCCAAGCCCAAAAACCTCTATAGATGCCCACTGCCCCCTCTTTCTCCCTTGAGCCACTGGCTGGGGGATTCCAACCAGCCACCTTTGGGTTGACAGCCCAACTGCTTGACCCACTGTGTCACCAGGGGTGCTCTGGCCAAGCATGGCTCTCCCTCCACCAGGAAGCCCTCCTGATGACTTCACCCGGCCCCCAGGCCTTTTCTGTCCCGGGGCAGGACACACAATTCCACTCCGACACGCACAAGGCCTCCACGAGTCCAAGTCCACTGGGTGGGGGTGGGGTGGGCAATTGGGTTTTTTAAAAAATAACTGTTATTTTCAAAATTAAAATACTAAATGAGATGAAAAGTCTGCTGGGGCTTTTTCCTGGCTTCCTCCTCCCCTTCACGTCCAAATTCCCCGCACCTCGAGCGCAGGAGGATGCACACACTGGAAACCCCTTTTAGAAAAGGGTTTGGGCTGGGGCAACAAAAGGAAATACAGCGAGAGAAATACTCGCGCCTCCAGTTTGCATTTCTATGCAGCGTGAGCCAGTGCGTGAGAGGTGGGTTCGGCTTTCGCGTAGCTTTGCCGATCGTCTTTTCCCATCGAGTCCAGGCTGTCGGTTTTCCGAGTGTCACTGCGGACGGGAGTAGAAAGCTCAGAGCAGCAGGTGGTGGCTTCGAACTGCCAACCAAGCGGATCGCAGCCCACGCGTAACCATTACAACCCCAGGGCTGGAAGGAGATGATGATGATGATGATGATTTTCCTTCTTTTGGTCTTAGGCACAAGCAGAGATGTAAGTATCCAGGCAGAGGTGGGTCATCAAAGAAAACAATTGGACTCTGCGCGAATCACGTGACAGGAACATTTTCTTTAAATAGCAGTATATCGGTCTCTTTTCTCTACTGGTTTCCGTAGTGTAGCGGTTATCACGTTCGCCTCACACGCGAAAGGTCCCCGGTTCGATCCCGGGCGGAAACAGCGGTGTCTTTCAATGTTCCTTTTGCTTTTGTCTATTAAAAGTTGTGGTGAAATTGAAAAGGGGGGGGAAAAGTTCCTTTTCAGAATAACTTTCGAAGGCGGATGGAAAAGTGAGATCAACTCGCTTGCGTTGGCCGGGAATCGAACCCGGGTCAACTGCTTGGAAGGCAGCTATGCTAACCACTATACCACCAACGCCTCGGCAGGGCAAATGGTTCGCCCGGTGTCCCTAGAAGCTTTATGGGTCGGGCTCGGCGATACCAAGTTACAAGGGGGTATCTCTCCCCCTCGCTCCCCGGGGTTGGGAGGCGCCACTCCACCCGGTGGCTGCCGGCCCGCGCGCCGCACCCCTCGCCCCGGGGCCACTTTGGAACCCTCCAAACGGCGCCCAATCCCAGACCGCCGCCTGGGCCGCTTGACTTCCGGGTCAAAGGGTTTCCCCAGCCGCCGGGTCCCCCGCTTCTGCTGGCTCCGCCGTCCCTCGCGCCCGCCACTTCCGGGCCGCAGTCGGGGCCATGGACCCGCGAGCCTGAGCGCCGCCGCCCTCGGACGCCCTGCCCAGCCCGGCCGCCGGCCCCGAGCCCGGTGAGCAGCGCTCGTCCGCCCCGTCCCGCGCCGCGGGGCCCCGGGGTGCCCTCCGTCCGCCCCCCCCACGCCCTGGGCCGGACCCGCCCTTGACCGGCCGCCAGCCTCAGTTTCCCTCCGCCGGGCCACCTCTCCGCCTGGCCTCCCCACCCTCCCCGATGCTGCCAGCCCTGGCCTGTCACCCCCTGGCCCCTGACCCCTCCACACGGTGGCCGCACCCAAAACGCCGCGCCCGCTAGAGAGCGGGAGCCCCGTGTTCCCTGCAGGCCCTGGGGGTCCCGGTAAACAGCCCCCACCCCCCATGCCCGTCCACCCAGGCGGGGAGGGAAGGCTACCAGCCGGACCTCGTCCTCCCACCACCCCGTCTCAGTCCTGAGCCATCGGTGAAACTCGAGCCCCTCTCTCAGGCTTGGCGCGACGCTCCCCCCCCACACCCCCACTTCCTCCTCAATGTCACAGTCGGGCCAGCGCGGGTGGCCCTTACCCACGGCCCCCCTGCCCTCAGCAGCAGGGAGGAGCTAGGACCAAGCCCCCTGGTTGGCGTCCGGAGGAATTGGGGGCTCGTGGGAGAGCAGATGCTGGGCTGTCTGAGGAGGGAGAGTTCGCCCGGACAGGCCTGGTGGGAGGGGGCGCATGCCGGGGCGGCCTCCCCAGCCTGGGCGTTCATGACACCTTTGTTCCGTCGAGGTCAGTGCCCCACATCTGCAGCTGGAATGAAGCCTACCTGCACTCCGTAGAAGGTGAGCTGGGCCCGTGCTGGGCAGCCCAGAAGGATGAGGTGGGGTGTACTGGGGTTCATCGGCCTGATCCAGGACAGGAGCTGGCTGGCTCATGGGGACTCCCCCACCCCCTGTGTCAGGGCAGACCTATGCTCCAGAAGCGGGTCACCAGGCCTTTCTTCTCAGGGACCTCTGGGTGGGCTCCAATGGCCCGCCTTTGGCTAGCAGTCAGCGGGCACCCCATGGGCATTGCCCAGAGGACTGTGGCTTACAGGCCAGTGGATAGGGTTTTCAACCGGCCTAGGGAGGCATGGTGAGGGGCCCTGGTGGTGGAGTGGTTATGTGTTGTGCTGTGAACCACAAGGGCAGAAGTTCGAAATTGCTAGCCTCTCTGAGGGAGAAAGACGAGGGGCTGAGACTTTCTACTCCCGTTAAGATCGATCGCCTGGGAAACCCACAGGGACATTTCTGCCCTGTCTGTCGGTTTGCTATGAGTCCGCACGGACTCAGACTCGGTGACAGTGAGCTATTTTGAGGGCATTGGTGAGCTGGGTGGTGCAGTGGATGAAGCGCTTGGGGTTGTTGATGGTTGGAGGTTAGACCCCCCCCACCCCACCCCCCACCAGCTGATCTGAAGGAGAAAAGAGGTGGCTTGTCTGCTCCTAGGATCCCTCTCAAAAAGCCTGGATCTGCTGCCTTTGGTTGATGCTGACTCATAGTGACCCCCAGAGGGCTGGGTAGAACTGCCTCTTGTGAGTTTCCGAAACTAACTTTGTAGGAGCAGCTGGTGGTTTTGAACTTCTGCCACTAGAGCCACTATGAGTGGAAAGAGGGTGGTGTGCTGGTTGGGCTGCTAACCACAGGGTCAGCAGATCAAAACCATTAGCTGTTCCCAGGGACAAACACGAGGCTTTTACAATCTCCGTTCAGATGGACAACCTCGGGAACCCACCAGGACAGTTCAACCCTGTTCTATAGACTCGATATAGGTTGCTAGCCATTCTGTGACACAGTGAAATGAGCAGGCGAGGCAGTGCCCTTGGGGACAGCTGGCGCCCACCCCGGTGGTGGCTCCTCACGCCCCGAGCTCCTCCAGCTGCCCAGGAAGAACCCTTGGAAGGTCCAGGGGAAAGGAAGGCAGCATGCGCATCGCAGGTGGAAGTGTGTCCCCCTCCCCCGTGCACTCCTCAGCAAAGGGCGAGGATTCTATCCCTGAAAGGGATCCAAGCCCAGGTCCCTCTTCCCTGTGATTTTAAATAGCCTGTCACCTTGACAGCACGGGCTGCCGTATTTCCAGTCCAGTGTGGCGGCAGTGGGTGTCATGAGAACTGTCATGCGGCATCCAGGCCCTCAGCCGAGACGTAGGTCCAGAGCCAGGCTTCACAGCTGGGCAAGGTGTGGAGGCCCAGAAAGGGGGCTTCCCCACTGTCAGGCTGCCCAGGAATGGCATAGCCGTGGTCAGAGCCCGAGTGTGGGGTGGCTTTCTCTACATGGCCTGGGCCCAGCGAGAAAGTGACTGGGTGTCACTGAGCCGAGGTCTCGTGGGCATCAGACCACCACACAGGGGCCACGTAGATGGCACAATTAGCTGAAGGCCTCCCATGTGCCAGGCATGACCTGGGCTCCAGGTGCAATGTGGATGCAGGGCCAAGTGGCCCCGCCCCATGTGGCTTGTATCCCAGCCACGGTTTTGTCACCTAGAGCAGGGACCTCACAGTAGCACTGCTGATGGGGCTGGAGTCTTCTTGGGGGGAGGGGGGCGCAGGATCCCTGGGTTCAGTTACAGGAGGACCGCTCCCCACTCCACCCCAACAGTGACACAGGACACCCCCAGACAATGCCTGTGCCTCCTGGGGCAGAACCACCCCAACTTAGGGGCTTCCACTAACCCCCAAGAGACTATGTCCAATCACCTGACCTGCCGTCCTAGGCCACCACCCACATTGACACTCTACACTGAGTGAGGAGGGGGTGAGGGAGATCACAGAGGCTGGTGGGGGTGGTCCCCCTCATTAACACTCCTCTTACCCAGTGGGGTGGTTATTCTGCAGTGTGGAGTGAATAACTGGGACCCAATTCCGTTTTTCCCCCAAATAATTACTGCAGAGCCCCTCCCCCTACAGCACTGTAGATGCTGGGGGTGGGGGGGGGCTCTGTGCATTCTTGGTTTCTGTCCACTCAGTGCCAGGAGCACCCCCTCCTCAGCCATGGCTCCCACAAATGATTCCTGACACTGCCTAGTGCCCCTCAAAAAGCAGAGAGCCACTTGCTGTGAACCGCTGCCCTAGATGGGAGGTGGGGGGAGAGAGGAGGCCCCCTCCAAAGAGGTGACCCTGGGATTGGGAGGGCAGGAGGGAGCTGGTGGTGCTAGGATCAGAGAAAGAGGGCCCCAGGGTGAGTGCCAGCGTCCTGGGGTGGGGGGAGTGGGTGTGAGCTGGGTGGTCCAGGGACTGCTGGGGCCATCAGGGACCTGGCCCCAGGGAGGGGTTGGGGGGCTGTCTCTGTTTTCACTGCTCGTTTTCCCCTGGGAGTCGTTTGAAACGTCCCTTGATCCAGGAGCTCAGGGCTGGGCCTGGCACGGCCACCTTGGCCAAGGGCCCTGGGCGCCAGGGCGTCATAGGTGCCAGAGGGACGACGGGACCCCAGCTGCGGCCTCCTGGCTTTGCTCTCCTTGCAGGCCCCTGCCCCCACCCCCTCGAGGCCGCTGGGTGGTTCATGCGGAAGGTTAAGAAGCTGCGCCCCGACCACGAGGACACCGGACGTTGGAGGAGGTAGGATCCAGGCCCCGGGGCTCCCCAGCCCGTGTGGGGTGCCGCACAGGCTGCGGGGCCGCTGCCAGGGGCAGCGCCTTCCCTCGGGCATCAGTCTGTCTGTCCCACACACCCCCTCCATGTGGCCCCCCCAGGTGCAGTCTGGTTTCTGCATAAGAAGGCTGGAGGCCAAGTGCAGGGCTCCCCGCCCCAGCATGCTTCAGGAGTTGAGCAGCTTCTGGGGCCTTCCCAAACTTGTCACAGCCACAAATGTCCCCTGGCCTCGCCCAGCGGTGTCTCTTGGGGGCAGATGCAGCCCTGCTTGCTGTGGCGTCCACCCCAGAGGAGCTGTGTCAGCAGTGGACTTGGCCTCCAGGGGTCTCATTGGCTGCTTCCTCAGAAGTTTGCTAGCCCTGAGGTGCCTGTGGGTGGTTTTGAAACACGAACCTCTTGGCTGGGAGTCGAGCGCTTAGCTGTGTACGCTGCCAGGCATTCCTTTGGCTGATGCTTGGGACACACACGCCCTCACCAGGTGTGGCTGGGAACTCCCTCTAGCTCTCGGAGCCCTGGCTTCTGAGAGGGCTGCCCCCAGGACCAGCTCCCACCTCGGGCACCTCAGCCTGTGCCCACCAGGGCGCTACCTGACTCCAGGCAGCACTGGACCCGACTCCTGGTAGCGGCCACCTGAGGGTTTTCCTTGGAAGAGTTCTCGGAAGTAGGTCCCAGGCCTTTCTTCCGAGGGGCCACTGGGTACTCTTGACCGCTGGCCTTTGGTTGGCAGCTGAGCAGTTGTCTCTGCCCACCGCCTACGGACGCAGACTCCATATAGGACAGAGGCCCCAGCGGCACCAGAGGGATAGCCCTAGTTGGAGAGAGGGTGGTGTGCCATGTGCCCAGGAGCCTCCCACAGGGACCCAGCTCCAGAGCCACGTCCGTCTACATGGTCACACCTGTGCACATTTGTGTGTGCATGCACACACACCGCCGGCCTGTCCACCTGTCTCTCACACACCACACGGTAGTTAGACACAGGGAAGGCACCCCCCACCCCCATCCACACAAACACCTCCCCCTGCCCCTTTTTCCAGGACCCTCCCAGCACTGCCCTTCTTCCCGCCCCGTCATGTCCCTCTCCATCCCTGTGATGGGCCCCACAGGGTCCCTGGCTGAAGCCCAGGGGGTGTGTGGTCCTGCTGAGGCCCCAGAAATCTTACCCCCTTGAGCCGACCTCCCCCAAGGGCTCGAATTGTTTGCTGGGGACGTCTTGGGCTGCCCTTGACCGGCGCCCTTGGCCGGCGGGTGGCCTTGAGTTAAGTGGCTTGGAGTTGCTTCTCTGTTCCCGGCTGTGTCAACTCTTGAGTGGAGGGCCCTCACCCGGGGAGACCCAGCGGGGCTGTAGGACCACCCTCCGCCCACCTAGGCCTCCTCCCAGCTCTCTGAACAGGAGAGGGCACGCCCCTCCCACCCCTGCTTAGACCAGCCTGGAGCGCGGCCTATCTGCAAGGTCCCCTGCACTCCCCCATGTTCCGTTTCCTTTCTCGTCTCCGGGATTGCTCCTGTGCTCCCCGAGAGGACGGCGGTGGCGATCAGAGGCAAGGTCGCCCTCCCTCCTTCCTTCCTTCTTCACGGTGCAATGGGCGTGTGGTTGCTGGTGCCCTCGAGGCACCCTGACTCTGGGAGCCGTGTGCCTTCCGGAAGCAGATCTCCTGGCTGGTCTCGAACCGCCAACCTTTTGTCCCTAGCTGAGCGTGCTGCCGTGTGCCTTCCGGAAGCAGATCTCCTGGCTGGTCTCGAACCGCCAACCTTTTGTCCCTAGCTGAGCGTGCTGCCCTCTGCCCCACCCAAGGTCTCCTTAGAAGTAAGCGGCTTGTACGTGGTAGGTTTGTCAGTGTTGTCCCTGCCCCGTTCTCGGACAGCGGGGGTGGGGGGTGGGGTGTGGTGCGAATGGTGTCTGTGCGCAGGACGAGGTATGGAGGTGCCCCCACCCCCACCCCACCCCAGCCCAGGTGTCAGCAAGCGCTGTGGCTGTGTGGGGTCCTGCATGCTCATAGGTTCTCACCTGGCCTCTGGTGAGTGCCCAGCATGAACCCTGGGCAGGTTCTCCCTGACCCCCCTCCCAGGGCCTGTGGGGCCTCAGGGCCCTGAGAGGCCCAAAGGCTCCTGTCTCCAAAGCCATCCCCAGAGGAGCTGGTCAGCCCATCCCCCTGCTGGGCTGACGGGCAGGAAGGACATGCCCGCTTGCTCATCGCCAGGTTCCAAAAGCCAACCAGCCACTCCCCAGTAGCCTCCAAAGCTCTCGGCACTGCACCTGTGTCGGCAGAACCCCTGGGGGGGGGCGGATTTGCCCGGCTGGCTATTGAGAAAGTAGAATGCCAGGCCTTTCTGCTGAGGGACTTGAACCTCCACGCTGATGGCTCCCACATTGGGGCCCAGCCGGCAGACCACTGCCCCTGCAGCGTGCTCAGACTCTGCTCTTGAAGGGACCGTGTCCCTCAGAGGCCCCCTTCCCCACCCCAGCCCCTGCTACAAGTCTGACTGCTGGTTCCTGGACAGTGATCGTCGTTCTACATTGCTGTGAGCACTCACAGTGACACCCCCCCCAACACACATACACACATGTGCTGACCAGAGCTGGGCTCCACGCAGGTCAACAGAAGTGAGTCACCAGGCTGTCTTCTGTGATGGCACCTCCAGGTGGCATCCAGTGTCAGCCAGCCGTGGAGCCCGGAGGATGAGAAGGTAGTGCCTGGCTCAGACTCCCCGCCGGCCCCACACCTGCTGATGTTGTGCCCCTCACCCTGCCGGCCGCTCTCACCCGGCCACCCAGCACCTCCAGAACTGGGGCACCGCGGCCGGCTGTGTTTAGATTTCTTTAAGCAAATATTGACCTCGCTGGGTTGATCCACCCACAGCAACACTGGGTCTAGGAGCCTCTGAAGTGGGGGGAGCGAGTACAGGTGCACCTTGGTCCTCTGACTCAACTTTGTGGCCCCCCACTTCTCGGAGCACCCTCAGCACACGCCCTGGACTGCCCCCCTGGGGACAGCGAGCTGCTGGCTCCAGTGGTGGGAGCCCAAGTACTTCCTTGCCGGCGCTTCCAGCCCCAGTGTGCGTTTGGGGTGGACCACTGTGGGCGCAGCCTCGGGGTCTGAGTGAGCAAGTGTCATGGTGAAGGCGGCGGGGATGGGGGGAAGGGCCCAGGGGAAGTGTTACAGTGAAGGCACTGAGGGGAGGGGCAACCAGGTGGCAGGTAGTGGGTGCAGGTGTGGGCGGCGCGTTCACCCTGTGTTGCTGCATAAGAGAGGTGTGGTGATCCAGCTGGGGGGGGGGGGGGCTCCCCACCACATGGAAGGGTCGTGGCCTGAGGAAGGCTGAGAACCGCTGTGTTGAAGAGCACAGAGGCTCCAGGAGCTGGGGGAGAGTGGGTGCACATGATCCTCCTGTCCCGCAGCTTTGCGCTGAATTCCAACGGGGCGGCGAGGATGGCCTCCGGGGAGTCGCCTGCATCTGCTGTGTCATCCTCCTCGACGGCTCCATCAGCGGCGGGTTCAGATCGGGCTGAGGAGGCGGCCGCGGTGGGGGAGCCAGGCACCTGCTTCCAGGTGCAGAAGCACTCATGGGAGGGACTGCGGAGCATCGTGCACGGCAGTCGCAAGTACTCAGGGCTCCTGGTCAACAAGGCGCCCCACGACTTCCGGTTTGTGCAGAAGACCGACGAGGCCGGGCCCCACTCGCACCGCCTGTACTACCTAGGTAAGCCAGGGCTCCCCGGGGACCTGCAGCCTCCCCACTGGGACGGGCCCGGGCAGGTTTGCAGGCGTGTTAGGTGTTCAGCAAGCACCCCCATCTGTTTCCACAGCACCGTGGTTTGGGGCCACTCATGGGCTGGTTCGTAGAACCGTCAGCCAGACCCAGGCTGGGCTGGGCTGCACGGCCCTGCAAGTCACTGCCCCAAGCGCTGCTCAGGGACAACCCTGAGACACCACTGTGGGCATCATGGTGGCTGAAGGCAGGGCCGAGGCTGTGCCTGCTCTGCACGCCCGGGTGAGCCCCCTCCGCTGGTCACTTCCTTCCCTGTGGCACTCTGCCCAGGCCCTCGCCCAGCCACAGGGAGTGCCTTTGGTCTGTGCGTGTCATGGGTGGGGGGCAGCATGCCCGCAGAGCAGGCCCCTGGGCCGTGTCCACGAACAAGGATGCGGTGCCCAGCTGGGAGTCCCACAGCCCCTCCTCCCCCCAGGATCCCAGCACACTGCCCTGCAGCTTCCCAGTTGTCCATCCCGCCTGCTCTTGTCAAGTGGTCCCAAGCCGGCGGGCCTTCATGTGCTCTAGACGGGTCTGTGTCCGGCTCTCTGGAACCGGGTCACCAGGCCTTTCTCCGGAGGGACGTCGGAGTGGGTTCAAACTGCCAACATTCTGATTGGTTGTCGAGGACTTGACCGCATCTCTCAGAGATCCTTGCCCGGGCCGGGCATGCAGCAACTACTCGAATGAGGGATTGAATGAATGAGTTAGTGGATGGGTGAATGAATGTCATGCTTGAGGATCCAGAGGTCATTCCTGTGAAGCCGGCCCGCGGCTGATGCCAGCTGGCAGTTCCTTCTCTGTGGTTGACACCGTGCCTCCTGGTGGACAGACTTTTATGGAAACGCAGGATGGTCTGGCCAGCACAGGGCGGGAAGCCTCTGGTACCCCGATCAAGGACTGGACGCGGCCGACCTCGTCACCTTGCATGCTCGCCAAAGCTGGACGGGGGTGAGAAAGTGCGGAGAAGAGTGGACGCCTTTGAATCGTGCTGGAGAAGGCCGGACATCCCGTGGGCCACCAGAAGAAATGCCACTCTGTCCTGGCAGAAGGAGGGCCGGAGTGCTCCTTAGATGCTAGGAAGGAGAGACTTCATCTCGCGTGCTTTGGACGTGTGGTCAGGAGAGACCCGTCCCTGGAGAAGGACATCCTGTTTGGTCAGGTGGAGGGGCCGCGAAGAAGAGGCAGGTGATCCAGGAGACGGAGGGAGAGCAGGCTCAAGACTTAAGAACAGTGGCAAAGATGACGCGGGACTACGTGGTGTTTGGCCCTGCTGTCCACGGGGTCACCAGTGGGGACAGACTGCCTGCCTGGCCCTGTGACCACAGGTGGGGGTGGGGGTGGCTGCTGCCAGGACAAGCTGAGCAGGAAGGGCGTGCCCCCCTCTCCTTGCATGCAGTCTCCTGTGGCCTGGAGGCCAGTGGAGCCCCAGGCACCACGAGCGACCCTTGAAGGGAAGCTGGTGGTCTGAGGTGGTTCCAGAGGAGAGCCAGGCCCAGCCTGCATCACGTGCCCTTGGTCTGGCACTGTGGCCTGGTTGTGGGTGATGGATTAGCTGTGTGTGTGTGTGTGTGTGTGTGTGCGCGCGCGCGCGCTGTGGGCACGTTTCCCCAGGGGCGGGTGGTAATGGCAGAAGGTAGGCGCTGCCCTCTGCTGGCTCTGGTGCCAGCATCAGCGCATGCCAGGAAGCCCCACGGGGCCCCTTGGTGTGATCTCGCACTAATCCATTGGGAGGGAGACAGCGTTCAAGTCCTTGGCACGGCCACTGGGTGACTTCCTGTTTGGAATGTGCCGGATGCTCCTGAGAGTCCCTGTGGACAGGCGCTGTCCCTGAGCAGACACCCCTGGCTGGAGAACTGCCCGCGCCCTCCCAGCCTCCCACCACGCACTAAAAAACAACAACGAAAACATGATTCACATGCTCTGCAGCCCGGTCACATGAAGGAGAGGCCCACGGCCGTGCATGGCCATCCCTGCTAGTGGTCACTCTGCCGCTCCCCCAAGCACTTGAGAAACAAACCCAGCGCCTGCCATCAGTCGATGCTGACTCGCAGCGCCTGAATAAGGCAGAGTAGAACTGTGCCTGTGGGCTTCTCCAGGACTACAGCTTTTTAAAGGGGGAGGAAAGCCTTGTCTTTCTCCTGAGGAGCAGTTGGTGGTTTTGAACTGCTGACCTTGCAGTTAGCAGCCCAACGTGTGACCACTGTGCCACAAGGACACCACGTAGAATCGCTATGAGTGGGAAAGGATGGACCGAGGGGGGGAGGTGGGGGATGCTGGTTACAGGTTGGGCAGGGTCAGCAGTTCAAAACCCCCAGCCGCTCCCAGAGACAAGGAGGAGATTTTTGACCCCCGTTAAGATTGACAGCCCGGGGACCCACTGTGCCGCCAAGGTTCCTCCCGCAAGCACGGGGCAACCACTAATCCACCTTCCGCTCGATGGGTGTGCCTCTTCGGAACCTTTCTGCACGTGCACTTGGACACCTTGTGGCCCCTCACGTGCCGGTGCTGTTCCTGCTGGGGGCCAGGAAGCCACCTTGACACACGGCAGCCCCGTGTGCTGGGTGGAGGCCAGCAGCCCGCGCGGCTTCTTAGACTAGTCTGTGCAGGAACGGAGCGCCACGCCTTTCCCCGCCGAGCCGTCGGGTGAAGGTTGAACCGCTGGCTCATTTTCCCGCAGCCCGGCGTGTGCCGCCACATCGCCACCGGCCCCTTCCCCCAGCCCTGTGGTCTTCGTCGGTGGTCCGACTCACAGCAGCCTGAGGGACCAAGGAAGCGCTGCCTGGTCCACGCCATCCTCACAGTTGCTCTTAGGTCTGAGCGCAGGGGAGCAGCCACTGTGTGTGCTCATCTCACGGAGGGGGCGGCCTTCCTCTTTTTCCATGCCCCCCCACTTTACCAAGCAGGATGTCCTTCTCCAGGGCCTGGTCTCCCCTGGCCACGTGAGACGAAGTCTCCCCATCCCTGTTTCTAAGGAGCCCGCTGGCTGCACACGAGCCTGGACTGCGGATCCACACAAGACGGACTCCCTGATGACGCCTTCAAGCTTCTCCGCTTCCCCCTGTGTCCTCGTCCGTCCCCAAGGCGGCAGTCCTGGCCCTTCATCAGCGGGGCTTCGATCCTCCTCGCTCTCAGCAGGCCAGGTTGTGTCGTCTGCAAACCACAGGCGGTTCGTAAGCCGCCCCCCATCCAGAGCTGCATTGTCTGTCGTCCAGCCTTGGGGTTCTTTACTCCAGCGTCCCGCTGCTGTGCGTAAGCTTTCAGTGCCAGTTCCTGCTTCGTGTCTGTGCTCAGTCTTTGGCTGACACTGCTCACCTGGGGTGGCCCTGTCGGCCTTGGAAACACCAGTGATGGAGCTTCCGGCACCACAGCGGCTCGACAGCCACCCAGCACACGAGCTGACAGACCAGTGGTGGCCCAGAGCCAGAGGCAACCACGCATCCCCGCTCTGCCTCCACGGTGCTGCCCGTCCGCACGTTTCAGGGACCACATGGGCCCAGCTGAGAAGGGGTGCTCCTGGCCAGAGCCGGTCTGGCATTTTGTGCCTGGCTCCTGAAACCAAGCACGCCATCAGAGAAGTCCACCCTGCATTGCAGCAAGCGTCAGGACCCAGTGGCTGGTTGGCTGCGAAGGTGCAGCACTTTCCCGACGCTCGCTGCGCTCACAGTGCAACCCTCGCCAGAATGTTCTCATCGCCCCTAAAAGAAATGCTGGGTCCCGTTGCCTCGCTCCCCCAAACCCAGGCGACCTCTCGTCCACTCTCTGCCTGTTCTGAATGAAGCCATGTGTCCCACTGTGTGGCCATGGGGAGAAGGACAGTGTCCCCCCCAGGCAGCATGTGTGGGCAGGACCCAGCTTGTGCCCCAGACGGGAGTGGGGCCAGGAAGCCCAGAGAGCCGGTGTCAGTGTGTCCAGCACTTCACCCACACGTACCAGCGGAGCCCTGCGTTTCTCCCAAGTGCCTTTTAAAAGCAAACCTGATAACTCCTTCACATCTGCTCCTCCGTGGCTGACTGCGCACGCGGGCCTGTCTCACTGCGCTCCACAGAGTCTGCCTGCTTTCCTCTCGCGACGATGAGGCTTATTAGGGAGGTGAGCAAGGTACACTTCGGGATCAGAAATGCTCAGGTGCACTTCTTCTGGTCAGGAGCGCTGCTTCTCAGCCATGTGCATAGGCAGACCTTTCTCCGGTCCCCGGCCACTCGGCACCCCTAGCCCCTCGGCCTCTCCCCGGCTCCGGCAATGTCGTGAAGGACTCCCGCCCCGCCATCAGCCTCTGCTCACAGGCGCCTGGCTCTAGACCCACGACCCTGGGTTTCTTAACAAACAGCAGGTCAGTGGCCATCCTGCGTCCAGCAAGTCTCTGAATGTCCTTGTCCCAATGGCACCTGCTCACTGCCGGTCTCTGTGTCGTATCGTGGGCACCCTCACCACATCGCTGACTCGTCTAATCCTGCCGCACGTCTCACAGAAGACAGCATGGTGCAGACAGAACCTCCACGTGCGCCGGGACACCAAGCGTCAGCGGGACTTGCTGAGGTTCAGCATCTGTTGATGGTGACGCTCCGCGGCCTGGCCCAGCCTCGTACTGCCACCAAGGGCGGCTCCTTCACAGCAGGCCTGCTCGGGAGCAGAGGGCCTGTGCCACTTGTCTCAGAACGGGCCGCATGGAGACCTCACCGGTTGGTTTTGGCACCGTGTGTCACAGTCGAACTGCGTGCACTCCCAAGGTTCCCAATGGCTGGCGCCCACCCCTTCCCCGAAGGCTGCCGGGCCTTTCTTCTGAGCCCCCCTGTCCACACCCAAATCACCCGCCTTTTGGGGTGAGCAGCCAAGAAAGGGAAAGACGCCCTCACTCTGAGCCCCCTGCTCGAGGGACTGGCACTGAGAGGGCATTGGGGCTCTGTCATGACAGCCAGCCAGCGTCACTGGCCCCGCGCCCCACCTGTGCCACAGGGCGGGGGCACCCAGCGTACGGGCATGACCAACTGTTTGTGTCTTTGGTCCCTTCTTTAGCAGTGGGACGGTGACCCACGATGGGAAGGCTGTCCAGTCAGCCCGGGGGGACACAGGATGCCCAGCCCTGCACCGCGTCATGGAGAAGACCGTCCAAAGACCCAACAAGCCTGCCCTGCAGGCAGCACCGCCGGTGCTCCGTGGAGGCAAGGAGGGAGAGACACGGCCTCCCGTACTCAGGACAGGCTGTCAGAGCGCCAGTCCCCGGAGAAGGACAGCATGCTTGTACAGCGCAGGGGCGGCGGACAAGAGAAAGGCCTGCACCGAGCCGAACACACACCACGGCCGCCACACGGGCTCAGACACAGAGCGGTGCTGAGGGCGCCCGTAGGAACGGGCAGTGTTTTGCTCAATCGTACCTGGGCTTACTGTGACTCAGAGATGGCCAGCTCCCTGTTGGCCCACTGGTTAAGCATTGTGCTGCTACCTTAAAGGTCAGCAGTTCAATGTCAGCCTGCCGTGCGGGAGAAAGATGAGGCTTCTGACTCCCATAGACAGTTGCAGGCTCGGAAACCCACTGCTGTAGCTCAGCGTTGCCCTGTGGGGTCGCTGGGAGCCCGCATTGACTGAGTCAGACGCTCAGGGCCCCTGACAACCAAGACCCCTGTGGGTGCTGCGGGTGGCTTCAGAGAAGATGGTCGGGCCGAGCGCTCAAGAGGCTTGAGCTTCTCCCTAGCTGCAGCCGTCCCGGGAAGCTCGGGCTGATGCAGGTGGTGAATGTACTCAGCCAACAGGTTCACGGTCCACCAGAGGCACTCAGAGGAAAGGCCTGGCGGTCTGGCACCCAGCAGGGGACAGCCCGCCCTGTGGGCACCGTCCAGTCCTGGCACACTCGTCCTGCACCCCTGAGTTGGAATCTGGTTGTCTTTCTGGTGTGGAGGTGTTGCTAGGCACCAGCCC